GAAAAGGAAAGAAGGAATGGATTGAATCCAAAGTATAAAAGAATGAAAAAATGTCCCTTCTAGATATATTTACAGGAGTCAGGGGCTCAATGGCTAGCCCATAGCAGCTAGCAGAAGGACTGGAAAAAGATGGAGCACCGAGCGATGGAAAATAGACTCTCAACCACATTTGAGCGAACCAAAGAGGCCCACTGCCAGTGGGCGATGTACCATTCTTCAATTGGGATTGAAGAGAAGTCATGTCTCTATAGAGGGCAGCTAAAAAGAAAGAACATAAATTCAGAGGCCTACCACGCATCAATTCATGCGCTATGGGTAAATAGCTCAGGAAGGGCTTTATGCTTGGCACACACAAAATGAATTTACAAAGCCAAATCAGAAGAAAGGCCACTCGCTCAGTATGGGAAGGCTCAGCGCTCAAGTGGTTATGAAGGGTTTGTAGGCTTGAATAAGACTCGGTGAGGCCTTTACCAAATTTTGGGGTGACACCAGAAATCAAAATACTATGGAAAATGGTATCGCCCAAAGGTGGCAGATTTACTAGGGCCCCAACATCCCTTAAGGTAATGGACATGGAACCAAGAGGAAAAATAAAAGTATTATACTCAGAAGACCAAAAACTTAAAGCGATTGAAAAAATTACTGGGTCAAAAATAGGGGGGTTGAAGAGAGATTTCTAACAAATCCGAAATCCTAGCATTATCAAAAATTGCCTTAGTAGGACCATGGTCCACAAGGCGAGCATGCCATCTACAAAAAACGACATCAGATTTAGGCTAAGTGCGAATACCTCTTTCGCGAAGTGGCCCCAGCGGTAAAGAATTTAGAAATGGAGGGCCCTGAGTACAAGGGAACACCTGACCGACCGTCGCTTGTTCGATGGCCTCGGCATTGTTGAATAAAGGACCTAGATAGAACTCATTGAGTTCGACATTGGCCAGTGCAAGCAAGTTTGGAGTTATATATGGCCGAGTAAGGAGTTTCTAAAAGTCTTCGAAACTGAAGGAGTCACCAGACTGGGATTGTGAAGCAGCCATTAGGGACGAATAGAGTTTTTCAAAGTTACGTAGCAGAGAAGCAAGGAGATGAACAGTAATATTGCAAGAGAGGTGCGAAAAAATGAGGCGTGATTTGGTGGTGCAATGAAATAGCGTATTTGGGGGTTATAAGGGTTTACAAACGTCACACCTTTTCAGGCTATGGAAGAAAACAATGATTGAATTTCTTGAAAATTTCAAATGTTGCTGGGAAACACAAAGTGAATATGGCAAAAAAATAATAATTGGTATTAATTCTGCCATATTGGGGGTTAATTGTTGACACACAAAAAGTTCAGCCCAACTCGAATAGCCCAAGGAATGAAACCCAATTGGAAGATCCCCAAAATCAAATAGCCTAAAAGAACGACCCAATCAGGTAATGCAAGATAAAGGCTCAAATAGGGACGCCCATAAATGCGATAATACCATCGTCCAAAGTTGCAAGTCGCCCAAGATTTGAGCGAATGAATTGCCATGCATTCACCCAGAGCTGTGACCCCGCTCTCGTCCAAACATTCGAGTCGCCCAGCATCTTAGCAAACATAAGATGTTATGGTTACCCAAAAAGTGCAGTTAATAAAGCAGTTATTGGGTAGTCCTATCATGTTCCACAATTCAAGGAATTCAATTGAAGACACTTGAACGACAAAAGTAATGGCAACAGTTAGAAAAGACAGTTTCATGACAAGTTGGCCACTACAAGGAAAGTGGGCAGTTATAGAGCGATCACGCAGTTTTTAAGCGATTGATCACGAAAAGATCATCCAGGGAATATAAAAGGAAGAAAAGACATAGAGTAGAAGGACCTTGAATCGAACACTCTCAAACAGAGAATATGTAACTTTCAATTTCTTAGTTTAGATTTAAACACTTCTTTTACAGTAACTCGTGTGCTTGCGCCCCTTGGAGGCATTCTGTTTTTAGTTTCCAATTGTAAAGTCATCGCCAATAAAACGCCCATTTTTGGGACTTTGTTTCAAGAGATTTGTCCCTTACACAATCGTCTGATCCCTTTTTAATTGTTAGCGACTAACCCGCGCGAAACAGTTGGTATGTAAGTACTCACGCAATGAATTCCTAACCAAAACAACAGAGAGAAAGTCAACACCACAATGCTTTCTGTAAAGTGCAGAGAGTCCGTATGGAATTCATTTACTTCTCTCAGGCATGGCTTGCTTTGGTTTTGGTGCATTTCATGTATTCTATCATAAGTCGCTCCTGCCAAGAAAAAATTGCAGCACCAATAAATCCATGAGAGATTATTTGTAAAAGGGCTCCATTGAGCCCTGTATCGGTGATAGAACCAATTCCTATAATTATGAAACCCATATGAGATATAGAGAAATAGGTTCAATTGGCCGAAATGAAATTCTAGACTTTTGAATTTAACGACATCCAGTTCGTAACTTTTATCAAAATTTAATTTTTTTTTCCCAAACCAAACAGGGGCATAATACTGCATGAGAATGTGAATAAAAATCAGTGGAGGTGCTTTGTCATATCATTTGTTAATTATTTTTTTATTTTGCCTTTCAAAAGAGGCAACCATTTTACAGAAGTACTTCGTCAAACAAACTAATAAATCAGCCAAACAAAGGGCTATCTGCTCCTTCAAAATTATTAACAGAGGAAACAAAAGCTGAAGTTTACGAGGTACATTTGAAGTATCAACTGTTTGAACTGTGGGTGGGGGAGCAGCAGGAGCTATAGGTGGTTGTACTGGAACGGATTGAGTAGGACTAGGGGGTTGTGCTGGATTCATCCTAAGTCCTTGAACCCCTGAATTAGTTACTGGCATGGATCCTCTACATGAGAGAGGAGCCACAACCTGGGGCATCTTTTGTCCTAGAGTTGGCACAGCTTCAGATGTGTTAGCACAATATGCAGCTATGCCAGGTGGTCCAGCTTGATAACTACGATTAACACCCCTCCTAAATGAAAAGAAAAATTTTAGCACGATATCTTGTACGAGAAGATAATTAGCATAAAAGGGGTAACATGCAGGATATAATTGTGAACCTAAGTTACCCGACGTTGTTGGCCGTTGATATTGCCCAAAATTTCTTAACGAAGGGGGATTTGTAGGAACAAAGGGTTTCAAAACAGGCGGAGTAGCAGCAGACCCTGGAGAAAAATTTCCCTGCAGAAGTTTCGAAGATGAAATCTTAATTTACTTACTATCAGATCAAATGTAGGCCATTGCTAATCTAACTTTACAGCTTTAGCTCAATTTCAAAAATAAAAATTAAACCACGTGGGCAGTTACTGTGGGGACTTCAGGCGTTTGGGTTGGAACAAATATGTTGCGCTAAGATGTGTTGGGTTGGGCCTGTTGTGTTGGAGGAATGTGTTTTGGGCTATTTGATTAGTGGGCTTCGATTTTGTTTGGTAAATATTGGATGTGGTTAGTGGGCTGGTTAATTGGGTGTTGCCTTGAAAATATGTTTTGGTTCGTAGCGGTAACAAGTAAAGGAGTAATTCTGTAATTGAATTTCTCGATTTTTTTCTCTTGTAGAAATTACACAAAACACTATGTTTAAAGATGTGAGTTCTAAAATCAGATAGCAGCAGGTTTCACTTTTCAAAAATTACATATATCATATTTAAATATTAAATATACAATTTTCATCCCAAACTCTAAAATTATTTCCACCATTTTTCCCTCTCTTCATAGCCATATCCCTCCATAGCCACCATTTTCCCCCTCTCTTCATCTTCTCTCCTAGTCCCTCCACCACAGCCACCCGTCTTGTTCCCACACCATACACAGCACCGGAAGATCAACGAAATGACAGGCGTTCACTGTCGTGCGTGATCTCTCCTCTTTTTTATTTGTCTTCTACATCTATTCCTATATTGTTCGTCACTAATGGTGTTGGCCACTGTGAGCAAGGAGGAACAACCTCGATCTCCATCCAGCATCACAATAATCGGCGGCAATCTCCACCTCAACTTCGTCCTTACCGCTGCTATAGTTCAATTGGGATGGTAGTGCTACAGGCGATTGGTACATGTGATGGTAGATCTTGTGATAGCAGTGTGCGATGTTAGGTGCAGTTATGGTGGTGGATTTGGCTGTAGCGAATCTGGAGGTTGAGTGGTAGTGAGGGTAAAGTGTTGGTACTTTGATAGTTTTTTGTTAACAGTGAATGAGTGTTGGTTGGAAATGGTGGTTGTGGTGGTGGTGGAGATGGTGGGGTGGTGACAATGTTAATGAGATGATGGCTTTTGTGGTCTTGGTGGTAGGGTGGCGAGATGGCAGTACTGTGGTTGCTTATGTGGGATGTTGGCAATTTTATAACTGGTTTGTTGGTGGAAGGTAGTGCTAGTTGCGGTGTTTGAGATGATGGAGATGTCAGGAGATGGTGGTGGTTGTTTTTGTAGTAGCAGCAGCAATGTCGAGATGGATGGCGGCAATGGTGGTTACAAGTGTTGGTGTCGATCACAAATGATTTAATCTATAACCAATAAACAACATGTGACCAATGAGAGAGAGGAGTTTTGACCATGAAATAACATGCGACCTAAAAAATTGTTAATTTAAGACTGTTTAATAAATTGTGACTTATAATATTTGTAAATGTGACCAATAAATAAATTGCAACATATAAATTTTTTATCCGTGATCGATGAACAAACTGTGACCTTTAAAATTTTGAATTGTAACCATAAAATAATTTGTGTCATATAAAATTTTGATTTGTGATAGAAAAATAATATGTGACTAACTAAATTTGTGAATTTGTAATCAAATTGTATAGATATGTGACTTTAATATATTTAATTAATCAAATATATAATTAATTAATTAAATCATAAATATACTTCAATAAATATCTGATTTTTGAAATTTGAAACCTTTTTTCTTACTTTTGAAATGGTGATAGATAACATCTTACTTATGAAATTTTCCCTTCTTTCTTTCTTTCTTTCTTTCTTTTAAAGAACTGGAAATAGCAAACAACAATTTTAGCCCCAGCTTGACAATCATTATCTTCAATCTTTCTTTTATAGACTCATTTTCAACACGCGTTCACACAAAAGATATTCTGCAAGTAAACTTTAAATTTTTTCCTACTCTTTAACCACTCATTCTCCTAAAAATCAGTATTTAAAACATTGTTTTGCACCAATCTTAGAAATAGCAAAACTTGCTTTGCATTTATTACAAGCAAATCTTCACTTTTGATTAAAATTATACTTAAATTTTATGGTAGGGTATGCAAGAATACTTTAAAATGTGATGCAAATTGTTTAATTGGCATCTATTCCAAGCAAATCACTACTTTTGGTTAAAGCTATACTTGAATTTTATGATAGGTTATGAGAGAATACTTTAAAATGCTAAGCTAACTTTTTAATTTATGTCTATTTTAAGCAAATCACTACTTTTGGATAAAGTTATACTTAAATTCTACGGAATACAAATGCTAATTCCAAGCGCCACTGCTTTTGAATTTCTAAATCTTCAATTTACATTATTTGATTGCTTTTAATTGACCAAATTATGTCTATTCTTGGGTACCAGATTCTTAGAAATATCTAAGAGCATCTTTAATCTTTATGGATTCTCTCCTTGTCTCCTTAATGTGATACAAGGTTTCAATGCCAATGGAATCATCAACTAGTTGCATTCCTGCCATTTCTTCTGACTTGATGAAGTTTATAAATATTACGGTTTTTCTAATACTAGCTGTAAAACTAATAAAACGAACAGAACTATTAAAAAAAATATAGGAAAATGAAAAGGTGTTAGTGTATTTCTAGATATGTGAAGGAATATTATCAAAGTGGATTACATCAAGCAGGGCCCAGAATCAATACATGAATTTGTTCTTCCTCAAATTTCCTCTTTTTTCTATTCAAGATATGAGTTTAAGTTTGATACGAGATTCCAACTTTCCATGTGGCTGGAGTATGAGCTGCAATTCAGACTTTAAAAATTATAAGCATAAAGAGATCACAATTTAGTAATTTATGCTGTTTTGATTAGGAATATTGAGTTGTTCAATATGAACCTATGCAAAGTTAAATATGTAGTAATTTATTTTATTTTACATCTATTCTAAGCAACTTTTGGTTAAAGTTATAATTAAAAGTTTGTGGTAGGGTATACAGGAATCTTTTAAAATATGATGCAAATCTTTTAATTTGCATCTATTTTAAGCATATATTCAATTTTGGTTAATGTTATACATAAATTCTATGTGGTAGGGTATATGAGAATACTTTATATTGTGATGTTAATCTTTTACTTTGCCTTTATTCTAAGTAAATTTGCATTTTTTTTAAAATTAAAGTTATACTTAAAAGTCTATGATAAGGAACACAAGAATAATTTAAAATGTGATACTGACTTTTTAATTTGTGTTATTCTAAGCAAATCTTCGCTTTTGGTTAAAGTTCTACACAAAAATCAATGATAGGAGATACGAAAATTCATTAAGCCCCTATTTGGTTGCCATTACTTTCAAAAAAACAATCATTTGAATAGTAATTTTTTGGAAAATGTATAGTTAAAAAATAGGAAAATATTTCGGGTTTATGATACCGTAAAATCACAGCAAACAAACTGATTCTAAAAAAAAAATGACAAAAACCAAATATTAGTTATCACCACTCACAGACAGTTTCCTCAAGATACAGAGCAAGATTAAGGCTCACCACTTCAAGGAAAGGGTTGGAAATACAGAACACTCAAAGAAGAGAACTCTTCTTAAAAAAAAAAAAAAAAAAAAAAAAAAAATATCCTTTAACTTTTTATTCTCCAAACGTGAATCATTCAAAGATAACATAGGGCCTGTCTTTATAGGCAAACAACATTAAACACAATAATCTACTAAACTTAGAATATAATATTTTAAATTTATAAAGAAAAATAATTTACGAGAATACTTTAAAATGTGAAGCTAACTTGCATCTATTCCAAGCAAATCTCACTTTTGATTAAAGTTATACCTAAATTCTTTGATAGGGTATACGAGAATACTTTAAAATGTAATTATAATTTTTTAATTTGTGTCTATTATAAGCAAATCCTACCTTTTGATTAAAGCGTGGCGCACCTGGGGGCAGAGGTCCTCACAGTAGGCGTCGCTCTCTTGCAGCGGCGCCGATCCTACTGCAGTGGTGGTGCTGTGGTGATCTAGCACCAATTCAGAGTCACAGCAGCGCCGATCCTCTCGCAGTGGTGCCGGTCTAACAACGGCACTGGAATAAAGTGAAGAGATGGTTGATGGGGAACAGAGATGAGGGTGAAGAGAGAGAGGAGCGGGTATAATCTTAGGGCTTGGGGGTGGATAGTTTTATACTATTATTACTAATATAAATAATTTTATAATATGATTATTAATATAAATAATTACATAAAACCTTATAGTTGAACAAATAAACTTCATATCTGATCTTTGAATTGAGATTTTTAAGCACCTGTTAGCATGTAAATTCCACTTAAAATATGTTTATTTGAAGTTGGTCAATGAAAAGATACACAATGACTGAAGCCCACATACAACGGATGAGGCTCTCCAACCAAAGCATTTAAAATGTCATATGGCACATTTAAAAAGTTTGAAAAGTATAGAGTTGAAATTAAATTTTAAAATTTCCAAGGGCTGAAGTGGAAAGAGTAAAAATATCGTGTTAGCGTAGAGAAATTACTTAGGAGGCAAATAGAATAGTATTGACGGGAAGTTATCCACCCCACCCCCCCCCCTCCCCAAAAGTCAACTTTTGGGCCAACCTCAATTTTTAAGTGTTTAGGTACTTGAGTGAATATACTGAAATATACGCTATTGGCCCCAATTTTTTAAAAGTCATTTTTTCATAAACCCGTTTTCAATTATGCATTTTATGAAATCAACAATTTTTTTTAACTTTTTAATCACACATTTCATCAATTTTTATCAAAATTTACTATGATTTTTAACCAAACCAAATGGGCATACCATGTAATTAGTGAAAGTAGGATAATTAATTACTGGAAACCAGATATGGGTTCATTTGAAGTTTTCGAGAATTTTGGAACTAATTTGCAAATTCTAAAGTTCCAAATAAGCACATTTCTAAACTTTTGGTAATTTCGTGAACTTACATGTATTAAATAAATATAAAAGGACAATTTTTTTTTTTTTAATTTCTACTTGTTTTGGTGTAAAAAATTCATCTTTTAAATTTCAAATTTTTTGGTATAAAAAGTTAAAATTAGGGTTTGGCCAATTGAACAAGATTAGAGTAAGCAAGTTCACGATTCAACTTGGCCAGACAACTTGCAAAATTTGACTAATACTGTACAATTAAAGTTAGAGTCATCCATTTTGGTTGATTTATTCCTAAGAGCAATGCTGTGTGTACAGAAACTGTACACACAAAACAGAAACTGTACACACAGAAACACCATAGAAGAGGCACAGCACTGGGGTGGGTGGTTGATTTTTTTTGGCTTTTTTAATTACAAGAGCCCCCACAATGTGAGATTTTTGGTGCATTTCCATGAAACACTCTTCTGTACATATGAAATTGTTGTATTCCTAAATGATTATTATTTGGACAACTTAGTAAAAAATATATCTTATTTTAAATATTTGTCAAAAGGTTTATTTTTAAATTGATAGCATCGATTTTCAACTTGACTAACTCAATGCTTTATTGATTGGTTACCAACTTATTGGTAAGTAGAGCTTCACGACCTATTGTATTGTTCAAGATTCCTCAGTATCATTTGTATTTTTTGTGATTAGAGTAATAGTGGAGTGATGATTATTTTATCGTGCTAGGGTAGCAACATATACATTGACTTGTGAGTTTTTTTTTTTTTAATTATTTAACTTTACTATTTATTTATTTTTATTTTTTTTGGGGGGGGGGGGGGGGGGGGGGGGAACTAAAACAAAAATGTACTTAAAGAGTAAAAAAGCTAAAATAAAATAAAAACTTTCCAGAAAGCGAGTTAATTGTCTCAAAATTGGGTACTTTGATAATGCCTTTGGAATCTATCCCTTTGAAGTTGATATCCACGTTGGTGTTCCCCTCAGTGCACATATTTCAATTTTTTTTCATCCATTCGGTTCAAAATTTACGTCTCTCTAGCATGTGCATACCCATTGGCTACATTTTTTCATATTCGACTGTCACCCATTTTGTCTCGGTAAAATGATATCTCCTTTCTAACACTAAATACTATTGAACAAGATTTTCTTGTTGTAATATAACGTATTATTTCAAGACACTTAACTTGTTTTACATCTATTCTAATCAAATATTTACTTATGGTCAAAGTTATACTTAAATTTAGGGAGAATTGCAGTCACAGTCTCAAACTTTCATTTTGTCTTAGACTTTAATTAAACAGTTAATTTGTGCTAACTGATAGAATTTCTAATATGAAAAATACTACATTTTTGCTTATTGACAAAAGTGAATATATATAGATTATAAGGTATTGAATGGATAAGCATAAGCATACTGAGCCTGACTAGGTAACAACAAAACGAAACTATACAAATCCAAATTCGAGGTTACACTAATCTATACAAATTCAAATACATGATAAATAGAGTACAAATAAGATTTCTTCTGTTACTAACCATAATCTCAAACCTTTCATTTTGTTGCATCACAAGGATAAATAGATGGTTTCTATACAAATGACCCTTATTTGACCACACAAAATAAAAAAATTGATCTCTTTTGATCAATTCTAAATGGGTAAATGATAAATTTATATTTTTTTAAATATTAACAATTAAAACAATTAACTTTTAAAAAAATTAAATTAAATTAAGCAATTTGCCCTAACCACATCCAACTACTCTTCCTAATCTTCTTTTCCTCTGTCGTCAACTACTATTCGCCATTGTCATTTCTTTCAATTACTCTTGCTGTATGTTTCCCGAAGAAATTGGGAAATGTCAACAAATTTTCTAATTCTTCAAATGGTAGGATTTCATATCCCCGTGGATTATGTCGAGGGCATTGTAAAAACAATCATGTTATGCAGGCATTATGGTTGACAAAATCTGTGAGATAATACCATATGGTAACCTATCAATGGATTGTTTAAAACAACAGCTTTTTCATCCAATTATATCTTGTCAACACCTATTATATCACTCTATCTGTCACCTACTTTTTGACAAAGTAGCATTATTGTTGTAAAAAACATTCAGATAATTGAAACCCCATACAAGATTCATACCAATTTATCTACACTAGTGCCGTATTTGGGTAGGGATTGGAATAGAAGGTCAAATTTGGGAGATGAAAAATGGGCCGAGTTGTGGGTTTGGTTGAGATGATGAAGGAGTTGGTGTTATGGGTTTTTGACCCACGAGGAGAGTGGCCGACGGTGGGGGCTGGTTAGGGTTCTAGAAGGGGAAAATACATATATTTCATCTCTAACAAACTTACAAAATTATTTCGAAAATCAAGTTATAATTATTATTTTTTGAAAATACATATACCATTCCTCTCCTCTCTCTAATTTCATTTTCCAGTAGAAAGAACATACCTCTAGTTTTTCTCCCTAAGAGAGTATTCAATTAGGACTCTTTATTAATGACTTTTTGATATTTAAAAAATTTAGGGGTATTCAATTTAGATTTTTGAATTCTCTCTCTCTCTCTCTCTCTCTCTCTCTCTCTCTCTCTCTCAATTCATTCTCTATTTTCTCCATTTTTTTGTGAAAAATATCTATTTTTTAATTAAATTATAAAAGTTTATATGAAAAATTTATAATTAAATTTAAATATATTAATTTTTATTTATTTTGAAAAGTTTATATATATATATATATATGTAAGGTCTTAAATTTTGTTTTTCAATTTTCTTAATTATATGGAAATAAGAAGGAGAAGGGAAAGGGAAATTGTGGAAACTAACACTTCGTATGTGAGAATTTTACACCAAATCAATGAATCTCATTTCAAATGGAAGTTTTCGAAAATCTTTTGAATTTCACAAAAGTCTATAAAAATTTTAAAATGAAAATCTATAAATGTCTATAAAAGGCTTCCACTAATTCCATACAAATCTATAAAATATCCACAAAATTCACAACAGCCATCACTTAAAAAAAGTCCATCAAAATCTTCAAAACTCCCAATTGAATGCACCCCCTAAAATTCTTTCATTTTTCTTGCAATTGGATCAAGAGGTGGTGGAAATTCCAACGATGCTATTCTCGAGTGGCACTCCATCCATCATTTATCTCTCTAAACACTCTCTATGGAACACATGGTTTCAATTACAAAACCATCTAATTTCCCCATCTTCAACTTCATCTTCACCAACTCCAAGCAAAAAATTGTGATTATTCACAATTAAAACTCTTTTCCTAATGGTTGCTGTGACAACATGAACAGAGATTGGGACTACAGATGGGGATAATCCTCCTAGAATAAAGAATATAATTGTTTGCATTTGTCAATAGCGACGGTCTCTTCCTCATATGCCGATTTGTACAGACAAAGATGAGTGAATGCCCCAATTATTAAGAATCTCACTTGGCTTAATATGTTGAACAAGTATGGTTAAAGCCTTTGGTAGTCTTATGGTATTATATTTTAGCCCACCGCTCAATTTTCGAACAATGGCAAGATAAGTACTTCAGTGGTGGAGAAGAAAGGGAGAAGAAATGTTCCCTTCCCATTTACTTCTTGGAAAAAGGGAAAAAAATTTTCCCCCCCCCCCCCCCCCCCCTCCCCTCTCTTTTTATGAAGGAATTATTAAAGCAAATAGGCAAGCAACCTTCACAGTTGATAAATGTAGTTTCTACACTTATTTAAGATCCTAAATGATGATATTTTGTTATTCTTTGAAAGGATTAGTACTTAATTTGTTATTTAATGCTTTTATTAGGAAAAATTCATGTTTTAAAGAAGCATTGGAAAAAAAACCAGAAAATGGCTAAAATAAAGCAAATTCAATATTTGGGGACAAAAATGCAAGTACTGAAATGTTGTTTCGGAACTCACAATGAAGCTTTGAGAGTGTCCGGGGTCAATTAGATGAGGAAAGAAGTTGAAAGGATGAATTATATTCAAATGATATCTCAAGGAGAATTGTACCCTTCTAAGTAAGCTTTCAAACTCATTTTGAATCACCTCAATTGGATATCAGGAGAGAAAGTTATGACGAAAATACTGAAAGTTGTGCAAAAACAAAATCATGCACGCGCAAAGGGAGCTTTTCTTATTTGATTAAAACACTTTTGGAAGACAATTTGGACATGAAATTTAACCTAATTTCATCATTTAAATACAAGATATGGGCAGTAATGAAAGGATATCTCTCTTGCCTCTTTATACATAATAGTTTCATCAAATTCATCAAAAACAAGGGGCTAATTACTATATTTTAAGAGAGGAGGTCAAGCCATAACAAGGAATTGAAGTTCAATTACATCAAGATTTTGAAAAATTCAACTTTGAACTTGAAGATCAACATCTTTTGTATTCTTTCATGATCTGGATGACATTTTTCTATTATTCTTCTTGTAATTTATATATTTATATGCTAGGCTAGTATTTCATTGTATTGGATAAATAATGAACCCTATTGTTTGTTATTTTAATTCAAAACAATTATTTAGTATTTGATAATTTTTTCTTCATTGGTTTTGCATTCTCATTAAACTATTTAATTGTTTGATCACTAAGTAGATAGTAAGTTGCTTGTTATATTATAGGAAATTCATAATAAGTCTAGAACGCGGTAAAATCACACATTGACAATAAGTATTAGGAATAATATCTATGACATGTGCAATCATGAGTGATAAATTCTGTAAATCCATGCATGCTTTTCATATGAATTCGGACAAGGAATAAGATTGAATCGTGTTAAACATGGGTTTAATAGATCTTGAGAAAGAATATTGAACAAAAGTTGATTATTGATTGTCTTGAATGCATGAATTCACTAGATTATAAATTAAATGACAATATGGGGATTCGTGATTCCAATACAAATATTCATATATTGATAAATGTTTTATTTGTTTTCTTCATTTAGGACTAGTATAAAGAACATATAAATCACCACTCTCTTGATATCACCACTCTTCAAATTTAATAGCAACTATTGAACTACAAATTAGACCTTATTACTCGTGGGACGATACTTTTAACTCACAAATTTTATTATTTGTACAATGATCCCATACGCTTGTGAATTTTTTGCGAACAACAATCATTTTAATAAATAAATTAGAAAATAATTCAAAGTATTGGTATTTATAGATAGATGGATGAGGGGATGATACCAATTGAAGATGGACTCTTCACCATACTTGATCATTAAATTATTTGTGACTTGTTAATTATGTAATTTGTAATTTATTATGTGATTGTGACCATTAAAATAATTAAATTAGTGATTATGTGAATTGCATGATTTGTAATTAATAAACAATTAATGACTTATTAATTGAGATTTATGATTTAACATGTAATCGTGATTCATAAATTGGGTGGTATATGACTACAATTTTGTGTGATTTGTGACTTAGTAACTTTGACCAATAAATTGTTTAGTATGTGATAGTGACCTATTTAATTTCTATTATAGGTTGCAGTATTTATAAAAGGTCACATATGACTTGAATATAATTGGGATTCATAAATTGTGTTGTGCGTGATTGTGACCTCGTGTGATTTATAACTTAGTGCGTCATTGTCACCAATAAATTGTATGGTATATGGTCGTGACTTGTTTAATTTCACTTTTAGGTCATAACAATTTATTAATGTTATATATGACTTAATATGTAATTGTGTTGTATGTGACTATGACCTTGTGTGATTTGTGATTTAGTGTGTGACTGTGATCAATAAATTGTCCAATTTGTGACGGTAAACTATTTAGTTTCAATTATAGGTCATGAAATTTATTCGAGGTCACATATGACTTGATATGTAATTGTGTGGTATGTGATTGCGACCTTATGTGATTTGTGACTTAGTCTGACTGTGACCAATAAATTATATAATATGTAACAGTGACCTGTTTAATTTCAATTATAGGTCACAACATTTTTTAGA